CTGGTTATTCCTGTAACAACACTAAAAACTGTTGTTTATGATAGAAAATGTTTGAAGAAATAGTAGAAATTTGTGGACAGTCCATTTCAAAGAAATTTCATGTTTAAGATGGAAAGTTTTCTGAATGAAAGGTCGAAGCAATTTTGCTAAACTTTTTTATTCACTTTCGTGTATCCAATATTCCAGTGAATGCCCTTATATTAATCTAGAAGTCAGAAGAAACAGAACTTCGAATGAATGTGAAAGAAGATTGCTTTTCAACTGGATGGTTGCACAAATTTAAATTGCGGCGTGGAATCTCATATGTTATAATAAATAGAATCTCCCCTTTAATAAATTAAAAATATGTGACCAGTGTCATGTAGCCAAATAAAGTAAAGAATATCTCACTGTTTTACTTTTTGTAAATTCTGATGGTACCGGAAAAAAAAATTCTCTAGTTATAGTAAAGTCACAAAACCCAAGGTACTTCAAACATGTTAAAATTTCCATTAGAATATGAAGCAAATAAGAAAGTAGGTACGACTACGGATATTTTTACAAAATGGGAGCTCAAAAAAGAAGACCTGTGAGGAGACAAAACCCCCAAACTTTACTTTTTATGGATCAATGTACCACCCATCCTCAAATAAGAGATTTGTTGCAAAATATGATGGTTGTTTTCTTCCCGGAAAATTGCTCTAGTGTTATACTACCTTGAGATCTGGGTGTCATTAAGTATTTGAAATTGTTCTACAGACAAAGATTGATTCAAATAGCCCTTCAAAATATAACTACAGAAAATACAGAGAAACATTTAATATTCTTAGGCTATGAATATGATTTCACTTGCCTGAACTCAAGTAAAGCCACAAAAAATCAAAATTTTCTTCCTTAAAGGGAGATTTTCGAACCCAGAATCAAATGAAATTATTGATGGAAATGATGATAAACTGTGATTATGGATGATGAAGATTCGAAACTAAAGAAGGATGAAGAAGATTAGAGATTGCAATCGAGGGCTACTTAAACTGTGATAAAGAGGTATAAACGGTGCTCCACTTTTTTTAAGACGTATAAAGAACTACTGGGTTAATACTATTTTATTGTGCATTACAGATGAATTTTCTATAAATGTAATTCTTTATCAAGAAAACGTGAGTTGGATTTCTCATAATCTGCTCTGAGTATCTGCTGTCAGATACTAGCACATTATTTTAATTATTAGTCAATATTTAACCTCGGAAAGAAACTGATTTTTGTTAAATATTTAGAGCAAATACACTGTAAGCATCAAGAGAATGGGAAATGCATCAAGAGACAGTTTTCCGAATGGGACAAAACTCAGTGGATGTGTAGATAGATATACGTATAGGAAAAAAACACAATTAAAATTTCTGAGGAAACAAATGCCTTATTCAGAAGGTACAGCTACATAGTGAATAAAACAATAAGGGTAATGGGACATATTAGCCTCATTGCCCTTATCGTCTCTAGACCTTATGCAAGTTGTAATCAGCTTGGCAATGACTTATGGATTTAGAAGATGACGTTCTGTGGGATGTTTTCCCAAACTCTTTACAATAGTCGCGTCAGATCAGCGCCATCCTGGAACGGCCAGAGGCTCCTTCTCATTTAACTCCAAACGTGCTGTCATAGAAAAAGATGAAAAAGATCTGGTAATCTAGCTGGCCATGGATAGGTTCGACAAGCACGAAGGCCATCAGCAAAATGATTGCATTTTTTAATTATTAAAATCAGTAGAAATAAGTACCGTATTGGTACCGTGTCGTATTGGAATTTGAATCTAGAGTACCTCGAAAAGAAATGCAACATAACGGTGGGACAATTTAGTGTATTTTGACTAACAAATTGGCTTTTTAATTTGCATCTTCCCTATCACTTCTTACTTAGTCACACATCTCGTTCCCTTCAGATGGTTACGTAAATTTTTAGACGATCCTAAGAGTATAAGTAGGTTAACTGAAGCCCTAGAGTTGTCTGTTGTGTGAAGAGCGTCGGTTCGAGTGTGGACCTAAGTGTGGATGGACCAGCCGGATGATAGAGCCGCGAGCAAATAGCTGCTAGTGAATATTTCTGTTTAATCTTGGTTAGTATGGCTGATTCCGGAGAAGTCCTGTCCAAAACGGTAAGCTACGTGGGAAAATTTAGCACGTTAAAATTAAATATAATTGTGGTTCCTCCTACAGAAAAACTGAGTTGTGAATTTTTATCATGAATTTTAGTCAAGTTGACTGTCCCCTGTATTTTTATGTTAATTCTCAAGTAGAGATTCATTAAAAATTTTCGTTGAATTTTATTGTGCTCCTGTCTGCATGAACCTTGAAATTTCACTTCCATCATGATGACTTGTGTAAGAAAATTGATTGGCACTTCCTACTCAGAATCCACAGAGATAGATATAAAAATACCAACCCAAGCACACTCAAATCTAACAGTAGGTGTCATAATGCGACGTAGAATTGCGTTATTGTGTACTGTGTTTTATTGTTATTATAGTCAAACTAAATAATTCCCTCATAATACAAGTTAAATTGATTATTTTTTAAATTTTAAATGATTGATTTACCGTTCTAGATAACACTAAAATTTACCTTTGGCAACAACCCCGGTCATTAAGATAATTAGGTGACTATAATAAACGTACACAAGAATTAATAAAGTAAATTAGTAAATAAACACAAATTCTTTTATTAAGGAAATTTAAAAGATATTTACTGAATCAGATTATACATATTTTACGTAATCAATTTAAACCTACATTTCAATTAGTAGAACCAGAATCAAAATCAGAATCAAAGTTTTCAATTAGTGAAACAATTACCTTTCTTACGAGTATTAGGTGGAATGATAAATACTATTTCCCTAATCTATTCACATTATTTAAACTCTCAAAAATCAGTGAATTGTTTTACTAAAATCAAAGCCTAAATGAGAGTGAATTTTATTACATTAATTTCTTAAAAAATGCTGAGTATTAGCAATTTTCTAAGTTAGTACAATAAATATATATGTTCATTATAATTTAAATACACAGTATTATTTTATTTCATGATAAAAGTCTGCAAATGAAACTGACAAACCGAAAAATAATATAAAAGTCGTTTAACTATCAGGAATCATTAAATGGCGTTATTTTGTGCTTTATCTCAAATTATATTTATCCAGAGAACTGAGGGACTTGAATTCTATCTTTTATTTCATTTAATCTTGCACCGTGCTTTACTTTTTCATACAAAAGTATGATGATGACGCGTGTATGTAGAACTGCATAGAAATATTCAACCATAGATATAGCATGTGAAGGCGAAGGGCGAAGGTTTATAATTTGACATCAGAAATACACAGAGTCTAAATATAAATTAGCAAAATATTAAATAACAGATTTTTTTTTAGCAGTAAAAAAACTTGGTAGGAAATAGGTTTTTTTTTTTTTTTTTTTTTTTTTTTCTTTCTTTCTCTCTCTCTCTCTTTCCCCCCCCCAGTTAGAATGGTATGTGCCTTTATATTCTGATAAGGATTTATCCATGTTCTTCAATGTTTTTATAGAATTTAACAACTGAATTTTTATGAGTTCTGTGATATTTCAGATTTTGAGACGTTTGTTTACTTGAATATTTTTAATTTATCAAAAATACGTGTTATCTGTATGAATACTTTAGTTTGAATTATATATATCTTTCGAAAATTGTTTTTTCTTTGGTGCATGTCCCCATGGGGATGTTGCATATAGTCATGCAGCTCTTAAATTTTTTTTGATTAAAGTGCTTTGTTTTTAATGAAAATTTTGCTTTTCTTTTTTGGTTGGTAATGATGCAGGTGAATTATGTTTTCATATTACGTAACAGCATCATTAAGCATCCATTCCAATCTTATGAGTGTGCCTTCTAAAATTAGTAAACGTTCCGTTGTTTTGCCCTCTGTATAGATCACATGACTATCGCAAGTTCGGGTTAGGTTACTTTGAAAATGATGAAGCACACGACAGCTATCGGCCTAAGACAAGGAAGAACTTTCTGCGGAAAGTGGCTCATATCCACATTACACATGGGAAAAACCATGAAAACTAACCAAGCAGCCAGTCCGCTCGCCTAGGTTCGAATCCGGGTCAAACTATGAGTATATTCAATAGTCTTCACTCGGCCACTTGAAGAAAAGGTTGACTATCGCAAAATCACTGAAAATTTAAGATTATAAGCGAAATTTTAATAATACGTTTATAGATTTGTATAGACATTATGTATTTTTGTTGCAAGCAGGAGCAGGAAAGATGAAAAATGAGCAATCGCCTTCGCCGGGAATCGAACAACGGGCCTCTGAAATACCGGCTCAGTGTGCTGACCACTACACCACGAAGGCATGCTAGGAAGGCGGGAGACATACCTTATAGACAAACAACATGTAATGACTGGGTACTTACGTATTATCCCGTCGACCAACAACGCAGCGCGATTTAGCGCCAATTAATGAATGACCGGGCCCATTAGAATTTTATAGTAACGATTGGCGATTGGCAGCCGTTGCCGAAATTTTCGCTATCGGTCGAGGAGATAATATGTAAGTACTAATAAACGCATATACCATCTAAAACTCTTAAACTAATTATATAAGATTCATGATACCAAAGATTTAAGGTTGGGAGGAAGGATCATTGTGATTTACTTGCCACAGACATTAACTCAAGCACTAAATAAAACACTGATTCAGATTTTAAGGGATACTTTTAGGGCCTTTTGAATTATTTAACCAGATCTGTATAATAAAGTTTGTCTAGTGTAATTTTACAGAAAACCCAAAATGGTATTATTAAATATACAGAAGTGTAATACACGGTGTATTTCTCTTATGAATCTACTACTTGAAGCGTGTGTGTTGTGCAACGACATACAATGCTTTGCGTCTTTCAATCAAAACTAAACCGTTATTTATTATCATTAATAGCACTAAGTTCAGCTTTCAATTAAATAATGGTAATAGTAATGATATAATTATTATAGTACCGTATATCCTAAATGCATAGACAACCTTGACGTCTCTAGGTGCTTGCTCACTAAAGCACGATAACATGTCTAAAAAGTCGTCAAATGTCATATTCCCACTGCCATCGTGGGAGAATACCTTGCAAATACGCTGTCGAAAAGGATTCTCCTGAAATAATAAGATTTCTGTTAAAATAAAGTTGTAAAATTAAAGATTTTCAAATGAAATTATTTTACTTCAGAAATCTTTAAAATGTTTAACAATCCGCATTTTGCATGATTAAAACTATAGTTACTCGAAGTTCTGGCATCTTCTCTACTTTTTCTAAAGGTACAGTTACAGTATGAGCTTCATCTCCAGTCATTTCTTTCGGAATTTTATGTGGATCCAATTCCCGATAGCGTTTGTGCACCCTAAAAGTAAATTCAGGTGACAATAAACACACAAAGAACAATAAATAATACAATGAAGCTCGGCCTAAAAACAAAACAGCATTATTCTAAGCCCTATTTATAAACTCGGGAAATGCATATTATTACATTATGGTGTTGTTATAGCACGCTGACAACTTCACTTGAATAATTAATGAAACTTATGCACCAAACTTAATTCAGAAGAAAATGGCTTACAGTTCTTTTAGAGTTGGGATTTTATTTGGAGGATTAACGAAATAGGAATCAGAAACAATTACACTTAACAACTTCATTCATTCATTTGCATTTACAAATTTATCTTTTATTTTTAAAACTGAATTATCCTTAAATCATTTCAGCAAAATAAGAATTCAGAGACATTTTTAGCTAGCTGTCCAAGCAACTGCTGTTTCATAACTTTGTTCATTTATGAATCACATACTGGATCATCCAAATCGGAGGGTTTTTGATGATAAATACGAAAACATAAAAAAATCCATTGAATCACATAATCGCTATTTTGACTTTTGCCATTTATCTACCGATTAAAAAATTCCTTTTTAAAAAATGTCATTAGGTTCATTCATCAAGAAGTTATTGTTTGACGGTCTCCAAAGATATAAGCTCCAGAATGTTCAGAGAATTTTGAAGTGATCTGGAGAGATGAAAGTCCGAGGAATAAAGGTCTAATAAAGGTCTAATAACTAAGGGGCTCTATTAAGAACATCCTACTCATGCTCAAACAGTCTTTGACGTTCATCGAAATGTGAAACCGGGAATTGTAATGATGGAAGACAACTCGACGATTGGTCAGGCTTGGACGGTGCTTTGCTTCAATTTCTGCTCCTGAAATTGCCATATTTGTCTGCATTTATTGTCCGATTTGAAGGCAACAATTCATAGTGTAGAATTCTTTTGTAATCCCTCAAACAAAGCATTACTGTTTCAGATACAGCCCTCCCTCTTCGGTGTTACTAAAAGAGGTAGTTTAGGCTTCCCCTATGATCTTTTTTTCTTGTAACATTATTGTATAGTATGCACTTCTCATATCCAGTAATAAGCCGTTTCAAAAAAGGAACTTTCTCACTTCTTTTCATCAAATAATTGCATGCCGAAACTCGAGCAAGCATAGTATCTCTGTTAAAGTATGAGATACCCATCCATTATGGCAGCTTACATATCCATCGCGGTTGCTGTTAGTACTTTTCGCCAGCTCTGCTTAATAATATTGTTGCGTGCGTACGGGTTCGTTATGAAATGAATGCACAAGTCCGATAAAAAAAATGAACAAAAATTTATTATTATCACAACAAAAATGCTTAAATTTTCTCAAATTATCACGCAGTATTACAATATCTCACAGTAGTTTTTTTTTTTAACTACTCAAATGTCCAATAGAACGTAATTCAAAACAGCTAAAGAACGCTAATCCGCGAATTCGCTACAATCAACAAGAGCAGTTTTCTAAACAACAACAAACTAAGCAACTACTACGACCTGAGACGTTTTCCTCCTTTTATAAGATTTTAAAATCACGCGCTAGAATTTTCCAGTACTTTCTCGAAATCAAAAAGAGATATTTATTTATTTAATGCACGCGCTCTTGTATTTTCAATTTTCCGGCTTAGCTTTCTTTTAATATTCGTCACGCGCTGCACTGCGCGAGAAATAAAACCATTTAATTTATAATTGAACTAACATTAGCTTTTTAAATACCAAATTCGTAACACTGCTCCCTTCCCAAGGACTGCACGTCCCGGGCAGTACAATCCCTGGACAGGAAGCTAAACTTACAACTGTGGCATAAATGCATTAATAAGCATTACATTACAATAATAAACAACATGAACAATAAATGCAATACATAAAACAAATCAAATGCTATCAAATACAAATCGAATACACATTTAAAAACAAAATGGACCATGGTCTTATACTATTTACAATTATTTACATTACGTACTATGGCCATAGTAATGAGCTAACCTGTCGTAATGACCGACTTTAGGTTTAGAGTTCAAAGACTTACGGAGACGTCATTCAATCTGTTCCGCACTGTACATGGACATTCCGAAGGTGACTGTAGTTTAGGACTGAGTCCTTTTCGTTGAATCGGGTTCCACAACCTCACCTTGTCTCCTTTGTTGGATCTATGTCCAGTAGCTCTCGTGTTGTATCTGGTCTTCACTTTCTCCGTCACCAAGTTCACTCGCTTTCGTGCGAAACGGGGCATCACTTCAAAACGGGCCTGGACATCTTGGATGTGTTCCTCAGGCGATGAAGGCGCATCCGTACGGCGATCAAACAAGCGGTCACAAGGCAGACGAAGTTCTCGAAGAGCATCTGGGCTGGAGAAGAGCTGGTAGTCTTGCGTTTCTTTTCGACCCTAGTATGACTTCGGCAGCTTCCCGAGCTGGATCTTTCGGACAAGGCGTCGGCATTTCCAGGCGAGGATCCTTTTTGAGGATGGATAGTCATGCCATCAGATGCTGAAAGCAGTTTGTTGTTTTTCAAGTCTAAGGAAAAATTGTATTTCCTTAAAAAGTCCAATCCGAGTATGCATGGATCTGTGATATTCGCCACATATGCCGTGTGATGGTAGACGGCACTTCCAAACGTGATGCTTACGTTTAACTTCCCAGTTATGTCGATCTTATCACCAGACGCAGTCTGAAGTGTAACACAGGATGGCGTCCAAATAAGTTTATCTTTAAACTGTTCAGCTAAATCTTTCCTAATGATGGTAACATTAGCTCCTGTGTCAATGATCATATTGCAAGGAACTCCATCGATATTCCCATTAATGGACAGTCCGTTACTGTTGCCACTCAGTGTATAAATTTTAAGCGCTTTAAAACAAGGTTTTTCATTATCTGGCAACCTCCGTTCCTCGATATGGTCACTAATTTGTTTACTGCGTCGTTGCTGGGAAATGGTCTTATTTTCCGTACCTCGGGGTGTTTTGCAGTTTCTTCGTATGTGGCCTTAAACTCCGCAGTTCCAGCACTTTAGAACTAGTTTCTTTTCACTTCTGTTCCGTCTCAAGCCACTGACTTGTCTGGTAAAATCATCTGCTTTATATTCCGTATCCTGGGGCGTTCTGCAATTCTGTCTTAGTTGACCTTCCCTACCACATCTCCAACACCTTAGAGCCACTTTCTTCTCGCTCCTACTCCGTATCAAATCTTCGACTTGTCTGGGTAAATCATCTAAACGAGCCATCAGTTGATCCACTGGCTCATGGACTCGCACAGCTCTAACTGGGTAGCGATCTCTACTAGTTGCTTGCTGGGCTGCCTCGAACTTCATGGCGTACAACAGAGCGCTTTTCAGATCTTTAACATCCGCCATTCGCAGTGCTTTCTGTATTTCAGGGTCCCGGATGCCATCGATGAAATACTGCAGGGACAGGATTTCCCTCGTTTCTCTCGGGCACTCCGTAAAGGCGAGGTGGGACAGCCTTTCAACATCCGTGGCGAGCTCCTGAAGTGTTTCGGTGGGCTTCTGCTGACGGGATTTTAATTGAAGCCTGCTGTAGTCTTTTAAACACTTCTCTCCAAAGCGCAGCTCTAGTGCGCCGGATAGAGCTTCAAAGTCTAGTCTCTGGTTTTCGGGAAGAGTCTGCAGGATATCCGCTGCGTCTGCTCTCAAAAAAGCGGCAAGATGACAGGCCTTAGCTTGAGAATCCCATCCATTCGCATCCGCAACTATAGAAAATTGGGTCTTATACACTTTCCAGGATGTATTCCCATCATATGTGGATAGCTTTAGAGATGGACGAGCAGGCATCGGTAAGAATTTAAAATCATCACTCCTGCTTCCTGCTGTCGCTACGAATTTCTTTAAAGTATCCATTTCTTTGGCAACTGCAGAAACTCTCTCATAAATTTGTTGTTAGATTTGGTGTTGGACGGCACAAACTCTTCCTTCAATTCGTTCCTCCACAGCAGAAACTCTCCCTTCTATATGTTCTTTTACAGAACAAACTCTTTCTTCTATTTCTTCTTTCATCGAAGAAATTCTTTCTTCAATTTGATCTTTTACGGAAGAAACGTTTTCTTCAATTTTTCCAACTTTATTTTCAACTGCGTCAATTCTGCCTTCCATAGCTTCAAATTTATTTTCTATTATGCAAGTAATTTCTCTTTTCATTTCTTCTTGACCAGCTTGAACGGCTTTCATTTCGTCCTTAACGGATTCCTGGCCCAATTTCATTTCCTCTTTAATTTCTTCTTTAAATGAGGGAAAGGCTGATATTAACTGCCTAACTGCCTTAATTGCTCTTCCATCGCTCTTGTTATTGGCATTCAAACCCCCCACTCCTGACACCAAAAATTGTTGCGTGCATACGGGTTCGTTATGAAATGAATGCACAAGTCCGATAAAAAAAATGAACAAAAATTTATTATTATCACAACAAAAATGCTTAAATTTTCTCAAATTATTATAGCAGTATTACAATATCTCACAGTAGTTTTCTTTTAACTACTCAAATGTCCAATAGAACGTAATTCAAAACAGCTAAAGAACGCTAATCCGCGAATTCGCTACAATCAACAAGAGCAGTTTTCTAAACAACAACAAACTAAGCAACTACTACGAACTGAGACGTTTTCCTCCTTTTATAAGATTTTAAAATCACGCGCTAGAATTTTCCAGTACTTTCTCGAAATCAAAAAGAGATATTTATTTATTTAATGCACGCGCTCTTGTATTTTCAATTTTCCGGCTTAGCTTTCTTTTAATATTCGTCACGCGCTGCACTGCGCGAGAAATAAAACCATTTAATTCATAATTGAACTAACATTAGCTTTTTAAATACCAAATTCGTAACAATATTATTTCGGCTTTGTATTATTTCGGTATTCTCGCTAGCAGACGAGTTAAATTACAAGTCAGTAAATTTCGAGCCATTTTATTTTGTTGAATGTGTCGACTTCATTATCAGCGTTTGAATTTAATTGTCTGTAATAATGTAAATAACCACGAGTAGTGGCTTT